AATTCTGGGAGTTGAAGTCCACTCATCTTAAAGTGGCCAACTTTGGACAACACTGGCTTAGTTCTTCTCCCAGCCTTGCCCTCCCCTTGTACTAAGTGGATGCACAACTCCGAGAGGATTAAAAACAAAATCAAAACTACTGTCTCTTCCCCAATTCTGGTTCCAATTAACAAAACAAAGCTGTGTGATTCATATTTAATATTCTGGATGCTTTGTAATTAACCTATTAGATATTTGCCCCTGAGATGATCCCACAAACATTTCTCAGAATTCACCTTGAGGAGAGGGCCCAGTTCAGAGCATGACTTTAAAAAAAAAAAGATTCAGAGAAACTGAATTGGCAATGGGGATGTCCAAGGTTCTGGAGATGAAGGGTTATGAGGTATCACAAAGAACTGAGGATGTTTAGCCTTGAGAAAAGGGGACTGAAGAAAATGCGATATGATCGCATTTTAAAATTTCAGATATCTAAAGAAGCGTTGCCTGAAGAAGATGGATGTAGACCAGTGATCTTCAGGTCCAGAGAAAGCAGATCCCAGTTCAGTGTAGGAAACTGTTCCTCACACTAAGATCAGCAATGGACCAAGACTGTGGGAGCTGGTGAGCTTCCATTCATTAAACCATGTTCAAGCAGAGGCTGCAAGCCATCAGTTAGGAATGCTTGACTGTGGATTTCTGCACACAGTGGCAGGTTGATCTCTATGGCCACAGTGGCCCCTCTGATGTAGGGCTCTGTGGGGATAATGGCTGAAGAAATCAAGAAGATGCATTCAGAGGAAAAAATGAAGCTTCACACAAACAGCAGAACCCAGCATCAGCAGACTTCCAGATGGGATCTGAACACGGCACAAGGGCCCATGGGGTGCAGGGTCAAAAAAGTCAAGATGCCAGCCTGACAATGCAATCAAAGCTCTGCCCCTTTGTATTTGCAAAAAAGGAACAGGCTTCAATCCTGTGGTGGTAGCCGCCATCTTGAATGTTTTGACTCCTCACCCCACCCCCGGAAATAGTCCTTGAAAAATAAGTGAATTATTCCAGAAGCTGGAAGCAGAAAAAGGCAACTGCAGCATTTCTTCCTAGTTGTGATAGATTAGCTGGGGTGAAAATTACAGAGTTTAAAGCGAAGGCTGAATTATCTAGCTAAGGAAAGTTCAGTGGAATATTAGGAACTGTAATTACATGTATTAACCTGGACAAAAAGCCGAACACTTGCCTTATGTGAAATTAGCAAACTGTTCCATAGTGTAAATAATTCCTCTAGTAAGTGCTTTAATTTGGCTCGTTTTAAGAACTTGCCTTTAATGCTGGTGTCAGGCTGCTGCTGCGCTACAGAAACACAGCTCTGAGTTGCCGTGAGATGGAGGGTTTGCTGGGGCGGGTTGAAGGTCTTAGTGCGCCATGCAGGATGCACCCAACCTAAAGGGTCCATCTGAGACCTTTATGAAGCCATGTGCCAGGAAACTCCACAGACCCGGCCTTAGTAGAGAGCACAGATGAACACTGTTTTCCTTCATCAAACTATAAACTTGCCTTTTGTTGCCTGAGTCTGAAAAACCAACCCATTGTCCTTTCCCCTCTTTCTAACTTTTATAACAGTGCCTTGTTTCTCCTTGACGTCAGGCAAAGGAATGCACTCTGCAGTTTCATAAGCTCTTCAGTGTCCGAGGTTAAATCCCCTGAAATGCCCTATCTGGCAGGTGGCGGAGAGCTCTTTCGCCAGGAGGCTCCCCTCTCTGCTCTCTACAGCTTGCTGGTGATCCATGAGCGTTTGCCTGCCGCAGGAAAGACAGGGAGCATGGAATGGGTGGAAGTTCCTCAAGGGCATCTTCCTCATGGAGATGAAGCACCATGAGAAGTGTTTGACGTGTCTGATTCTGGATGGAAAGAAAAGGCTGCTTCATCCCACCAGGGAAGGTGGAATTATGGCAGTCTTCAAGCTCAGGTTGGGACCTGGTGACCTTCTACCCAGATAAGTCGTGTGGCTCCCGTGAATGAACAATTTAGCCCTTCTGCTGGGAACGGCTTGATGCTACCAGGGAAATGTGCTAGACTATGAGATTCCCACAACAGACAGCACCGTATTTGCACGTTTACAAATGTAGTCATTAGAAGAGTGAGCCCAATCGGGTGATAAGCTGTGTTGGGCATTAGGCAAGGAACCTACTCAATAGCTGGTTAAGGGTCCTGCTGGCCCATGACTGCCATGTCCAAACTGTGAAGTTCTGGGATCTCTCTTTCCTTGCCCCAGTGATTACTCAAAGAAGGCCCAGCTATGGAAGACTGAGTCATGCAGAGTTTTTTAGTGGGGAAGATGTCTTTGCAGGCTTGAAGGGGCTGGCAGTACGCTGGAGAAAGAAGAGGGTGCTTGTTCTTCTGAATGACAGCACTTCCAAGGAAGTTGCAACCTCTTGCTCCCATAATAACAGGCCTGCTGGCCCAATCTGTCCCCCTCCAATCCAGCTTGCTATGATGATCTGGTGGGAACCTGCATGACTTGTTCAGCTGAGAGAATGAATCGTCTCCTCCTTTCCTCTCCCAATTTTTAAAAATTCTTCTACCTTCTTTTCCAAGTCATCCTTTTAATTTGCCTTTCTGCCCACACTTCATTCCTGCGGCAACCGCCTGGTTGCACCAGTTGCTGGGTCTTTCCCTTCTCATCATTTTATTTTCTTGCACTACTGTTAACCAGTGACCCTTGGCAATAGCATATGGCAGACTTGTACAAGAATTCACATAGGCTGTCATGCGCATCAGATTCTATAGCAATTTGCAAACTTCTGCTTTTGCAAAACTTTGCCCAAGCAAAGAAAGACTGAAATGCAAGTTGTTGCTGTCACGCAGCTAAAAACAGTTAACTGTAAATAAGGTGGTACATGGAGGCCAAAAGTATTGCCACTTCAAAAACTTTGCAAACTAAAATCCATGAAATTAACTTCTTCATTAAATTAAGCATTATTTATGTTGAACATGTTTTTGTTTGCATACAATATCAGCCTTCTGAAGCTTTCCCATATGTTTGTAGCTTATTATGTACACCTGACTACACAGACTAAGAATAATTGATTACACCTAGCTAACAATTAGAGATTGCTTTAGATTTTCTTCCCCTCCCCTCCTTTTAACATTTGGGTACTTGAAAATAGGGATCTGCAACTAGCAGAAAAGTATAAATCACTGTTGCCAACAATCAACTACGCAGGTTCCAAGACAGATTTTGTTGGAAAATTACAGTGGGTAATTTCCAGTTTAGTTTGTATCCGGCACACGCCCGTTCAATCCCCACATCCAGATCTGAGCGAGCCTACCTGGCACTTAATTCAGCTAGCAAAAAATATAGCTCAATATTTATTTATTAAACATTAGCAAACATCAAAAAGCAGTTAACTGGCCAAAGGGGATAAAAGCAGGAAAGGAGAAACATTAGCAGCAGACAACAATATAAACAATTCCTCTATCTATCAAAAGGTGCAGAATTTCCAACCTTGTGGATAAGGAGCAGGGACAGCCCCAAAGGGAAGGCTTTTGGTTATTCCAGCCTTAACCTTTTTGTGCACAAACAGCAGCAGATTAGAGAGGGAAAGGAGGACACCAGGTAATCCCTCCTGTATGCTGCACAGTTAAAGAAACAGTGTAGGGGATGCAGATGATACTGTATATCTAGCAGATTTAACCAAGGAAGATATGCTTGTTCAAAAACAAAAGGGCAGTTTCCTTTAGCAGAAGCTAAGGATTTTGAAATCAATTTCTCTGCAGGCCAGGAATGGCTGTAAGGTCTTATTCACACTGAACTTTAACCTGATCCAAAAGTTTGGGCTCTTTTGGGATCCAAAATAGCCCCAAACCCAGCCCAAATATCAAGATTTCCTATGTCCAACAACCTTACAAGAGACTAGTTGAACAATCCTGCAGC